TATGGTCGGGCCCCCGAGGTTTGTCAAATACTTGCTTTCTTTTTGGTACGATCTTGACGCGAAGTTGGGTAAGGCTCCCAGGCAGATTAGCAGTGGGTATGACTTATGTAGGAGTCCTTGACTATTTTGGTTCCTTTATTTATGTTTTCAAATTTTTTTTTTCTTTTTAAATGTTCCGCGAACTTGCATTTATTTGTTGTATGCCCCTCTAACGGCCAACGTACCCCGTCGCGCCCCTCTGACAACGATCGAAGTTTTTGAAAACCCCCTGACGTTGTCTGGGCTTGAAATATGTTCAGTATGCCCCTATCGCTACCGACTCCAAATTTCCAGTATGCCTCGGTACCTCCCCTCCCAGGGTCGGAGGAACAACCTTTGAGTGTCACCAACGGCCACAAGGGTATGCTAGAAAGTTGCACCCCTCACTAACAGGGGCCTACAAAAAACTCCAGAGGCCAAGGACACGACAAAGTAAGTTGTTCGTCACAGGGGCATACCGCAAATAAATGGTATAGTTGGATATTTTTTTTTAGGTCGCAAAGTTGGAGGGGCATTCCAAAAATTTACCATTTTTTGTATAGTTGGATATTTCTTTTGAGTCGCAGTCCATGGGACGCTGGACCCGATTTTTAGCTCTACAACCTCACACTTATGGGTTGAGATGTTGAAGAGTTTTTTTCTTGTTGTTTTTAAAATTGCGAGGATCAGGGTCCTCGGTAGGCCTATGGGGCCCTGTTTGCAGCCTTACCCGCCCTAAGTGAAGGCGGGCCTAGCTTTTTGCAAGAGGCCCTCGACTGTCAATTTCATATTTGGGGTCCAGGCAGTTGCGACGCGCCAGTTGGTTGCACAAGCCGAGCACCGAAGACATTTCCACGGCCTACCGGGCCTTTCCAAAGAATGCAGGCTCTGGGCGTGATTTGCAGCCTCATACAGAGACAGTTGGGCGCCCAACTGAACAAGGCCCAGCAGCCCAGTAGCTGCAGCATCCAGGCAGCCTCCTGGGGCCTTCCGGAAGCTTCTAGGCCCAGGCCAGCCCAGCCAGGCTTCGAGAGCTGGCCAGCTCTTTTCCATAAAGGAAAGAGCTCTGGCCAGGCAGCCTCATTCAGGCACTCGCATGCTGGCGGCAGCGCTGCTGGAGCTCATGCTCGTAGGCTGCTNCAGGCACTCGCATGCTGGCGGCAGCGCTGCTGGAGCTCATGCTCGTAGGCTGCTGCTAGCGCTGAGAGGCGAGGTGCAGCACGTGCGGTCGTGCAAAGGAGGAGGGCGCTGCTGAGGGCAGCACCATAGCCCAGCCACCATAGCTGGTGGGCTTGGACTACAGTGAAGCGCAGGGGTGGTCTTCGGGTCAAAGAGAGGACAGGTGTGGTGTAGTCAAGGGATAGGTGAAGGATGTTGATGATGATGATGATGTGAGGGCACGTACCTTGTATTGGTGATGGTCTGCATGGGCGACGTCTTCAAGTACTTCGGGTTGCCGCTGGTGTCAACAGTTGCATTGTTTTTCTGTAGTCTGTAGTAGTTGTGTAGGAGTAGGTTGGGCGCTGAGCGCTAAGTGTGAGTGTGAAGGAACTGTACTCTTGTGTTGGGAGGAGAGAGTATGCTCTCCATGAACATTAGTTTTCAGTGCTACGAACCTCCATTGGTGTATTATTGGTGCAATGCTGCTTTCTGGACACAGTGTGACTATTTGGCTTTCAATGTGATGGTGTGATCTGGAATTGTCATCTCGTTGTTACTTATTTTCCTTGCAATTTGGTATCGGAGCTGGTTCATATTGCGCTTCATTGGTTCTTCGCAATAGCTTTTGGTGCTTCGCGTGAGGTGTGGGGCAGTGATAAGGCATTGGCGTTGAACGTTAGGCGGCCCAGGGTAGTGTAGGCGCGCCAGGGAGCTATGTGGTGACATACGGGGTGTATGCTGGATGATGAGAAATCGCTGATGTGGCATATTAAGCCAAGGTGGAACCGCATTCTACTGTTGGTTGTGCTGAGGCAAAGACCGATCATCATAATTACACATCAGGTTACCGGTGAAAAATTTGTGGTTGGGGGCAGCATTTATGAGGTACGTTGCTCTCTTCCTTATCTACCCTCTTCATCTCTTCTTACCGTGAGGAAGTGAGTTTTGTCTTGAGAGTCCTCTCGATGTGAGGTGTCGCGAGCGCTCAACCTTGAGAGTCGACATTCTTCCTGGGCAGCAAGCTGGTGGGAGACGGGCGAAGCCTCTGAAGGGCCCTAGACGAAGCACGTGGGTCACGGTCACCATGCCAACCCGCTGGGACTAGTACATGCATGCTTGGGCTGCAAGTCCTTGGTTCTGCTGCTTGCGCAATAGAGGTCGTGTCGGGCATGCCAGCCTTTCATGAGACGCTTACCAGACCGTCTATAAATATTTTTGGTTGGGGACTCGGATTGAATCTGACTGTGATCGTCGTCCTGACTGCGACGTTAAATAATTCCTGAGGAGATGGGGGCTCTCCTAAAATTCCTCCTGATCAGCCAGATCAACCAGGTGTAACGCTCGTTCCGTACGAGGGTAAATAAGAGTGGACTGGCTGGTTTGTTCGGCAATGACTTGGGGCACAGAGGTGGGCCGGATTGCACACCTTCAGACACGCTGCTCAACCAGATGCTCAGGAACGTTGACACAAAGTGACCAATCAAGAAGGATACAGGGGGAGGGGGGATTCCGATAACTGTTCACAGTGACAATCAACTATCAATCTGCCATCCAGTATACATCTCCAACAAAAGATGTTATTTTTATTTTGATTATCTAGTTGTGACAGACTTCGCTAACAACTGACAGACAGCTACAGACAGATTGGATCTTTGTTGTAGTGCAATCTGTTCCAGGGTAATCCAAAAATAGAATTAATATATCCTGTAAGACCCGACATTAGTTGTTAATATATCACCTAACTGTTTTTGTTCCATCCGACCGAAATTAGTTGTGTTTCATAATCGGTTGTGTGTCAGGCTAAAGTAGGATTCCGTGTGGATTCTAGTTTAGATCACACACATTGTAGCTCATGAGTGATGCAAGCACTAGTGATGAGGAATTGCTAATGGACGACCGTAGGACTACTCGCAGGACTACTCGTAGTCCACCCTTGACATTCTTGGAGTTAGGTCCAGGAGACGAGAGAAGATTGTGGAGAGAGGCTAGAGAGAGATCAGCGGCAAGGAGAGCGAGGGCAGTTGAGGATAGTGCCAAGACTAGAGTCTCAGCTAGTACCGGTGCAACCATGGCTACCTCAGCCATGTCACAAGTCTCTACACAGTCCTCTTTGTCAGGAGTCAGTCAGAGCGGTTTCGAGGTTTCCACTAGTCAGATTGCTAGCGTGCGAGTCAACCAGCAAATTCAACTCCGCCGGAGGACTTAGAAATCCGGCAAGCATAAAAACTTCAGGATGAGCTACAGTGGCAGTTGGACGAGGCAGCAGAGAGGAGGAGAAAAGCAATACTTAGGAAGGCTAGACTAGGGAGTAGGATGCAAGAACTAAGCAGACTGAAAGGATTAGATGAGGCAGCGTTAGACACTACTGGTCGTGTGCTGCGTAATGCTTTGCTTTCAGTGGCTGAAGCGCAGAACGTCCAACAGGAATTGCTGACCGATTTGTTGGCAGGCCAGAGACAAATCCTGGCTGAACTTCGGGCTCCTCGCACAGCGGTGAGGCAGCCACAGTTTGCTGTAGTTCCCCCTGTGGGTGCGGGTCCTTCATCGATGCCGCAACACACAGGGCAAACTTTCTCTCCAATGTTTGGCATGCCCCCTCCAGGTGGTTTTGCAGCAACTAGTGGTCCGGTTCAAAGAGTCTCAACCGTACCATCCACGACAGTGGTAACTACAGTCCCACTGTCAAGCCAGACCCAGGTTAATGTGCAGAAGCCTGTTTCAGTGGCAATGTAGTTGCTGCAACAAGCCCCTGGGCCCATGCAGCCTATGCAGTGGATGCCCAAGATACCTTTGATGAGTCCCAAGCCTTTCTCTGGAGATAGAAAGAAGGAGGAGGACTTGGACACCTGGGTGAGAACTGTGCCTACTTATGTGAGGCACAAGCTCACAAGGCCAGAGCAAGAAGTTGTTGTGGCTGCCTCTTTTCTCGAAGGGTCAGCAGCTCGCTGGTTGAATGGTCTAGTGCAGCAACAGGCTCCGGTCAGGATTTCGATGCCTGGGCACAGGCTCAGACATTGGAGCAGTTCGTACGGTCTGTCTACAACAGGTGGCATGACCCGCAAGGGGCTCAAAAGGCCACCGATGCTATCAACAACCTTTGTTCCCGCAGGTTCAAGGATGTTAGAGAGCTTACAGACACCGTAGAACGCCTTCTCGTGGTACCTGGTGTGCGTTTTGACCAGCAGGTTCTCCTCACGGATTACCTAAGGTGTCTACCTGCAGAGGTAAGGACCAAGCTGGTTGACGAGGCCTATGTCGAACAACACACCTTCACTTCTTCTAGTAAGAAAGCTCTGGACATAGAGGCAAAGTTGGGATCTGCGCATAAGGTATCCCATGATGGTAGGAAGAGACTGCCCCAAGATTGGAAGAAGAAGGGTTAATGTTCGTTGACCACGATGGTCAAACGACGGAGATTGACGAATTCCCAGACCTTGGGGAGTTGACAGAGCAGGATGGGGCCAACGAGACTTTGGATGGGGGAGTCGTGGTGCCCATCAAGGAAAAGGCTAGGGGGACCGGGAAGAAGAAGGTAGGACGGTCCACGGGTCAGGGAGACCAAGGGACACCCGCATGGGTGAAGCTTGGTTTGGATTACGAGGTGTGGAGGGACCGAGTTGCCAGGGGCACTTGCATGAACTGTGGCAATTATGGCCACATGTCGCATACATGCCGAGGCAAAAAGGTCACCACGAAGGTAGCCTCACCAACGGTGGTGGGCTTATCTTCAAACCCTGGGAGTGCTTCTGCGAGCAGCTTACAGGGAAACACCTCAGGCCAGTAGGAGTGTTAGCCGCTCTTACTCGCGCTGAAGTGGTTACGTTGCCTTCCCCACTTCAGGCGTTGGCCAAGGCTAGTGACCCACACATCGCCCCGCAAACACATTCAGACCCACCGACGCTCTGTTCGAGAGATGTGTCTGAGGCCCTAGAAGAGTTAGAGACTGAGTGGTCAAGGAAGGACCCCAAGGACTCTTGGGCGATGATCAGTAGAGGTCCAAAAGGTAAACATTTCGTGGTAGAAGTAGATGTAGGTGGCCGCAAGGTTGGCGCCTTCGCAGACATAGGCTCTACACGAAATTTCATTAGTCGTGCTTGTGTGGATAAACTGCGCTTAGGGGACCAAGTGCAGCGGCTTAGCAGAACTGTAGCTTCTACGCTAGCCAACAAGCACAAAATGGTTGTAAAGGACTATGTCAAGGACGTAGCCTGCACCTTCTCCTATGGAGGAGGGGAAGTGATCCACAAGATCTCTTTCTTGGTGAGCGACGAACTGCCATTCGATATGCTACTGGGCATGTACTACCTCGAAGTCTCGCAACCTCAGTTTAACTGGGATAGGAAGGTGTTGATCCACAAATTGCCCAATGGTAGAACTGTTAGATTGCAAAAGTATAAAGCTAGCAGTCTAATAGAGAACTATGGGTGTATGTGCGCTTCATCCTTCTATAACTACTATAAGCAGAATCGAGAGGAGGACATGTATCTAGTCTTTGTCTCCGAGAAAGGGGAGGCCGTTAAAACACCCCCGGAGATAGAAAGAATCGTCGCACAATATTCAGACCTTTTTGAGGAGCCCACAGGCGTGGTGGAAAGGGAGGTTGTACATGCGATAGAGATTGTCCCAGGTAGTAAGGTGCCTAGAGGACGAATCTATAGGATGTCTCCCGCGGAGTTAGATGAGCTTCGCCGCCAGCTCAAGGAGCTCACAGAGAAGGGATGGATACGGCCTAGTACCTCCCCTTACGGTGCGCCAGTGTTATTTGTCCCAAAGAAGGGAGGTCCATTAAGGATGTGCATTGACTATAGGGGCCTCAATGCCATCACCGTTAAGAACGCGGAGCCCCTACCCCGCATTGACGACCTCTTGGATAGAGTGCAGAGATGTCGATACTTCACAAAGATAGATCTGAAGTCCGGATACCATCAAATTATCGTTAGGCCTGAGGACCAACACAAAACCATATTTCAGACCAGGTACGGTTTGTACGAGTTTGTGGTGATGCCTTTTGGCCTATGCAATTCGCCTGGTACGTTCCAGCACGCGATGAACCGGATATTTCATGAGTACTTGGACAAGTTTATCGTCATGTACCTCGACGATATTCTTATCTTTAGTAGGACTGTAGAGGAGCACGCTTAGCACTTGAAAATAGTATTAGGTCTCCTCAGACAGCACCAGTACAAGGTAAACTTTGATAAATGCGAGTTTGGTCGCACCAAGATCTTGTACTTGGGTCATGAAATTTCAGTAGATGGGTTGAGGCCGGAAGATGCGAAGGTGACCAGCATACGTGACTGGCCCAGACCTCAGACTGTTACTGAGGTCAGATCGTTTTTGGGGATGACGGGCTATTATCACCCGTTTGTAAAGAACTATAGTACTATAGCTTCCCCATTAACGGATCTAACTCGACTTGACACCCCTTGGGAGTGGACTGAAGAGTGTGAGGCAAGCTTCAAGAAATTGAAGTATGCTCTGACACACTATGAAGTTCTCAAACTTCCGGATCCTGACAAGCCATTTGTCGTGACCACAGACGCCAGCCAATATGGCATAGTCGCGGTCCTTGCGCAACAGGAAGGGCCCATGTTGAGACCGATCGAATACATGAGTAAAAAGATGCCTTCTCAAAAGTTAGCTAAGTCCACTTATGAGAGAGAGCTCTACGCCCTGTACCCAGCACTAGTTCATTGGAGACACTACCTCCTAGGAAGATTCTTCTATGTGAGGTCTGACCATGGAACTTTGAGCTGGATTAAGACATAGCCTGTGTTGTCAGACGCACTCAAGAGATGGATTCAAGTGATAGACATGTATGACTATCAACTTGATCCTATCAAGGGTACGTACAACAAGGTGGTTGATGCGTTATCAAGAAGGGCAGATTATCTGGGGGCACTAGTAACAGAGTTTGGCATATCTAGCGATTTGACTCGATCACTGGTGGATGCCAATCAGCAAGATCTAGTTATGTCCGAGATCATTCGTAGATTCAAGGCAAAGGATAAAAATACTTTGGACGAATTTACAATGGTAGACGACTTGCTGTTTCTTGAGAAGGCAGGGAATAAAAGGTTGTGTGTTCCCAGTAGTGAGTCGTTACGTAGTTTATTTTTAGGAGAATGTCACGATGCAACTGGTCATTTTGGCTACACAACGACATCAGCGAACTTAGTACAAAGATTTTGGTGGCCTTATATGATGATAGATGCAAAACGCTATGTTGAAACTTGCCAGGTTTGCCAAAGAGACAAACCAAGGACTCAGGCTCTGCTTGGGCTGATCAAGCCCTTGCCGGTTCTTGAAGGACCAAGTCAGAGTGTGTCTATGGATTTCATGGACACCCTTGTGACCAGCAAGTCTGGAAAGAGGCATATCTTTGTTATAGTGGACTGTTTTACTAAGTACGCAAGACTGATTGCCATGCCAGAAACAACTAAAACTGACTATGTCATCAAACTGTTTATGGATAATTGGGTACGGGATTTTGGTTTGCCTACATCCATCGTTAGCGATAGGGATGTGAGATTCACAAGTGAACTGTGGCAATCAACTGTTGAACAGATGGACACCAAACTCCAAATGGCTTCAGGGAATCACCCTGAGTCAAATGGCCAAGCAGAACAGATGAACCGGGTAGTACAACACCTGCTTAGGCATTACATTAAGCCAAGTCAGGATGACTGGGACGAGAAGTTACCTCTCGTCGCCAGTTTGTACAACAATGTTGTGCACAGTATAACCGGTATGACTCCCAACCAGTTACATCTTGGTTTGAAGCCTAGAAGTGCATTGGACTTTCTGCAACCAGAAAGACACTCCACTGCAACACCTGGCAGCATAGAGTTTGCTGTCAAATATGAACAGATGTTGCAGCAGGCCGTTGAACATATTAGAAAGTCTCAAGATGCTATGATTGCATATGAGAATAAGCATAGACGGCCCTCTAACTTTCAGGTAGGTGAACGAGTCTGGGTAAAGTCATCTGAATTAGGTCAGGAGTTGGGGATATCCAGAAAACTGATGCCACGGTCTTTCGGGCCCTGGGAGATCTTGGATGTTGTAGGGGATCAACCGGATGGGCCTTCATACGTGATCCGTATTCCTGCACACCTACGCACCTACCCAGTGTTTCATGCCTCTAAGCTGGCACCTTTCGCTGCAACTGAGCATTTTCCTTCCTGAACATCAATGCTGCCCCCGACCATGGATGGCGAAGTGAACATTGACCAGATCATCGAGCATCGAGTGATGCCTGTTCCTCGACCATCAGGCAAAGAGCGACCTCCTAAACCGAGAATGTAATATCGTGTGAGCTTCAGACATCATCTGGATCCTAAAGAAGACAGGTGGTTCACATGAGAAGAACTCATGAGAACAACACATCAAGTCATCGCAGGCTATGAAAGAGCACTCAAGGGGAAGATGCCTGCAGAATGCGAGACTTTTCAGAGGATTCACGAAGTAAAGGAGGAGGGAATGCGAGGATCAGGGTCCTCGGTAGGCCTATGGGACCCTGTTTGCAGCCTTACCCGCCCTAAGTGAAGGCGGAGGTGCCCGCCCTAAGTGAAGGCGGGCCTGGCTTTTTGCAAGAGGCCCTCGACTGTCAATTTCATATTTGGGGTCCAGGCAGTTGCGACGCGCCAGTTGGTTGAAAGAAACACAGGCCGAGCACCGAAGACATTTCCACGGCCTACCGGGCCTTTCCAAAGAATGCAGGCCCTGGGCGTGATTCGCAGCCTCATACAGAGACAGTTGGGTGCCCAACCGAACGAGGCCCAGCAACCCAGTAGCTGCTGCATCCAGGCAGCCTCCTAGGGCCTTCCGGAGGCTTCAGGGCCCAGCCCATCCCAGCCAGGCTTCAAGAGCTGGCCAGCTCTTTTCCATAAAGGAAAGAGCTCTGGCCAGGCAGCCTCATTCAGACACTCGCATGCTGGAGGCAACGCTGCTGGAGCTCATGCTCGTAGGCTGTTGCTAGCGTTGAGAGGCGAGGTGTAGCATGTGCGGTCGTGCAGAGGAGGAGGGCGCTGCTGAGGGCAGCGCCATAGCCCAGCCACCATAGCTGGTGGGCTTGGACTACAATGAAGCGCAGGGGT